CCCCCCCCCCCCCCCCAAAATAAATAAATAAATAAACAGTATTGAAAACCCTCATCGGAAAACCATTCTATACTCCGCCGGCCACGGCGGCGCAGCCGTTCATAGAGAGAGAAATTTGGAGATGAAATTAACAATACCAGATCTAGCCTCAAAATGTTCAGCAATGTAATTCCAATTCTGAGGCCCAAACTGTTCAACAAGCTGGCGGAGTTTATTGTCCTCCGCCGGCCGCCAGTGGCCTCTGTAGCACGTAACGCCACTGCTTCCACTGCCGCAGCCGCCGCCGCCACCACCACCACTGCTGCTGCTGCTGCTTCTTGATCCTATCATTCTCATCAGAACCCCTCAGAGAGTTCAAAGAAATGGGTTTTGCTTTCTTTAATATATATTTCTTTTTGTTCATCAACCCAATTTTTATTTTTTTATTTCTTTTTGTAAAATCAAAATTACAAAAAATGCCATTATAAGGCATTTTGTGATCTAATTAGGTAAATGGGCTGGCTTCTCATAATACCTTATTTGGGATAATCCCATCACTACAATTAATTCCTCCTCCCATTTTAATTTTAATTTCTTTTAATTTATCATATATTAGGGTAACCCCATTAATATCAGTTGGAGGAAGTTGGTAAACTCCTTCGATCATACATGATATCAATTATTCATCGGTTTAGTACCACACCCATATCCAATTTAATACCCACACCCTATCATATCATCACGAAGATCCGTAATTTCAAGGATAAATAGGTTATGAAAAGTAAAATTTGTCCGGGATTAACAAATTGATTAGTTTGGGATAAGAACAAGTGATGAACTAAATATGGGTAAAACAAAGGCACTGTTTTTGGATGAACAATAATAATTTCTTCTCTCTTCATTTTCTACTTTGTTTCCTGTTGCAGTTAGCTGAGATTCTGATGACATCTGAGATTTCCAAAACTGGTTATTTCAGAGGTCAAACTCCATACTTTAATTAAATACTTGATCCCACAACTTATAATATTATTATAATAATATAATATAATATAATATAATATAATATAATATGGGTTAGTTAAACGTTGGATGTAATTTTGTATCTGATAAATTATTTAACTTTCAGTTTCATGGTTCCGGTGTCTTCGATGTTACTGTTTGATTTTGTCAAATTGGGTCATGTTGTATTTGGGTCGAGGTTAAATAAAATTCGATTTCAAAAGTTATTTACAATGAAATCGAACCATTGAATATAAAAGTCATTCAAATTTAAGTCTAATCTCAAATGGATAGCGGGGAAAGAATTCAAAAAATATATATTTAGTGTGAAAAGAATTAAAGAGTGATCAATCTCGAGAACAAGCTGCAAAACAGGTTCCAAACACGTTGAAAAAACTTCACATTCGAGAACAAGCTACAAAGTCCCGAAAAAATTTGAATTATATGTCTAATAATTCAATTTTTCGTAACAAAATTAAAATTCAAGAACATATTACATACTTTATTAGTAATCGACTTTAACGTAAAACCCATTTACTTAGTCCTTACAATGTATCAAGTTAAGTAGTCCTGGTGCACGTTCTAGTCTCAAATTCATTTAATTTCAAAAATTTCTAAATTTTTAAATGTAAATTTAAAATTTGTTAGGGGGACAAAATTTGTTATTAACCTTTAAAAAATAAAAAAAAAATTAGGGTATTTGTTAATTAATATTTTGTTCCAATGTGAAAAAAGTCAAGAAAGAGTTAATATGATTCTTACAAGGAATGTATTATTATATATGGTAATTTTTGCGGTTAATTTATTTAAAAAAACAAAAAATTCCAAATTTTAAGGCATAATAATTGACTTCTACAATTACTCAATCCCCTTTGTATTTAGGTTAAAATCCTAACTTATTCTAATTTTAATTTCATTTTTTTAAATTAATTTTAAAATAAAATTATTACACCTTATAATACAAAAATGTCTCGTGTACACATTTTTTTTTTCATTTTTTTACTTTTTTTTTAATTTATTTTCTCATAATATTAAAATTGGCTTCGAGTTACTCGTTATAGATCAAAAGACTAAAATTTTCCCATTTTTTTTCAACGAAAACTTAAAAATTGCAAACAAATTAAACTTAGAGATGTTAATTTAATGGAATCTGCTTCTGTTTATTTATTATTAAAGTAAATAAGTTATTTATTATATTATAATATTGAATTTTTTTTTTTTTTTAAAGAATTTTTATTATGGTTGAGAATAAAATTTAAAAATAATAAGATTTTGGTCCTCCCATTTTCCCTTAATTTTGGGCAGACTTTAATAATCTCCAATATTGTAATAATTTTAAATATTTTCTGATTTTATTTTATTTTATTTTATTTTATTTTAAGCCCTTAAATTCCCTAATTCTTACCATATTTTTTTTCACTCTCATTCTTTTGAATTTCTCTTCCTTATTCTTCCCTTCCTTCTCCGGCAAGAAACCTCCTCCGTTCACATCTCCGTCCAACCACCGCGCCTCCGCCGATCGCTGCTCCGGCATTATCACGTGACTTCGCCGTTCTGCACGTGATCTTGGTGTCTTCTACACCAACTGTGAGTTCCGGTTTACTCGATTCGAATTAAATTTTTCTTTTTTTTTTGTTTCGATTTAAGGGTTTCTGATTTTTTTATAATTTTTTTTGTGCGAGTAAGAACATGGGGAGAGGAAAATTGAGCATGAAATTGATTAGTAACGAGAAATCTCGAAAAACTACTTTTTCTAAGCGAAAAAATAGTTTGATGAGAAAAGCGTACGAGCTCTCGACACTATGCGATGTTCGTACTTGTGTCATTGTCCACGGTCCGAATCAAAGCGACCAATCTCCCATCCACACATGGCCGTCGTCTCGTGACTCAGTCAATGACATGATCGCTTCTTACAAATCTAACTGTCTCCACAAACGAACCCGCAAGTCTTTTAATCTCTTCGACTTTTTCTCCGACCGAAAAAAGAAGATCGAATCCGACATGTCCAAGCTTCGCAAGGACGTTGCAAAAGCCAGGTAATTGAAACTACTTAATTTTGTAAGACCCCACCAAAAAAAGATAATATCTTGATCATGGTTCGATTGTTAATATCAGGTATCCAAAGTGGGATGAACGGCTCGAGTATTTAATGGAAGAACAATTACGAGTACTAATGATTGAGATAGATTCAAAGCTAGATGCGACAAAGAGAAGGATTGAGAATGTTGAGGAGAGGGTATCAGGAGGAAGCAACCAAACCCTAAATGCAAACATGAACAAGAACCAATTGATATCATTTGAGGAAACACAGCCCATGATGGCATACAATCAAATCCAAGCAATGCCACAAGATCTTCAAGCTGGGAGCTCAGGTGTTCCAATGATTCAAATGGATCATGAGTTTGAGAATTTGAATCAATTCATTTATGGGTCATCACTACCTCAATTTCATGGCAATTATTTCCAAAACCCTAATTTTTGTAGTGATCCAACAAATGGGATGATTATGGATAGCACACAAAATCACTCAATGTGCCACTATGGAGTTCCTCTTGCTCCTACTCACTCAATCATGCCATTGTCATACATGCAGCTCACGGATGATCAAATGATGATGGGTTGTTCTTCAAATTCGCAAATGGGATTGCCTAATGCTTCAAATCAAGTTAATGATCAGCTTGATTACTTCAATTACGAGTATTTTATGAAGAACTTCTAATGTCTTAATCACCAATTAGTGCTTAATTAGCTGAGGTTAGTTGGTTTTAGTTATGTTTTAGGATATCATTTCTCAATTGCTATTGTTTTTTGGTTAGATTGGCTAGATGGTTGGAACTTTTCTATAGTAACGTTATAGATGCAAATATAATATAGTGTATTTTTATCTATCTATTTAATTATAGTAATCTTTTTTTTTTTTTTTTTGCAAAGAAAAATGATCACTTATTATCTTATTTTTGTTATTATGCAAATATTCTATTTTAGTAATGAATGTATTAGTGAGATAAAATTAATAGTTGTCGGGAGAATTGGGGTGCTCGAGTTTTTCGAATCTACAACTCTAGGCTCACACCCATAACTGGGTATTTTTTGTCTTAGGAGTTATGTCTTCATGCTTCGTAATTAATTATTTAACTTTTGTTATTTTATTTACAATTTAATATTATTTATGGTATAAAAATCGGAGGTTATTAATGTAATCTTGAACCGCATGTAGTTGACATACAAGAGAATCGTGTTTAAGTAATAATTTAAAAGGTCTATAGTATATGGTTGAGTGTCTTATCTTGGTAACACTATTAATACAATCCACTTTGTATCGTCACAAATGATTTGATCCCAAATTGTTCAGGTGGAAACATGTGAGTGGAGGTATTTATACAATAAATGTTGATTCCGTAGACATTAGAATGGTCAAAATATTTTGGGTAACTTTTGATATAACTCGGTTTCCACGAAGTACTGTGAAAAAAAATGATAGATTGAAAGTAAAAAGTTGAGAGTCCCTTCTCAACCAACACAAAAACAAAAATTCTCGATTTAAAAGAGATTTCAAATATCACTGAGTTCAATCTAACAATCCATTTAAAATAATAAAAATTAGAAAGAAGTCAGCATATTCATTTTATTTAAGCCTGTAATTGTTACACATTTTCCTATATATGCTACTACTCTCCATTCCTTTACTTAGGTTAGAATCATAGTAAAAAGAGAGGTCTTAAAGAGGTTTTAGTCACGTTCAATTTTACTCTTCACGAGATTTCAATAGTCACGTTCAATTTTACTCTTCACGAGATTTCAAATATCACCAAATTCACTCTACGACCTATAAAGATTGCTCGAGAAATTTAAAAGAATAAAAATTAGGAATTTGAATCAACATGTTCATTCATTTTATTCGAGCGTGTAGTCGTTACACATTTCTATATATATAAGAAACTAATCAAATCCGACCAAATCATTTTATTTATTATGAAGCATTTAAAATAAATAAATAAAGTAGAGATGCCTATTAATTTTGAACTAGGCAAAACCCTTATTGCCAACTGTTACAATCATTTATAGCAAATATTATCAAAACTAGAAATTCTAATAATGTAGCAAACGTCACTTTAAATAATGATTTTATCCTTAATATTCCATTTCCGAATATTAAATTTGTTTCCTAAAACTTAATTACTTTATTCTTTAAAAAACGAAGAAAAATATATTTGAACATTTAAATAAAATTCATAAAATAAAACTATACTTTTAAAACATTAGTTTATTTTTTTCTGTCAAGGGTTCCTACAGTAGAACAGATTTTGCAAAGGTTGATGAAGAAAAAGTTGAAAGTTCGGTGCTACATGACTTCTAAAACCCGACCCGACCCAACCGAACCGAACCCATGTGTGCTAAAATAGAA